GTTAAATACACATATCAATAACAGTTCATTATTATTTTCCTTCGTTTTCTTTTACATACTCATATCATAAATAATCGCTTCCTTCGAGCGACGACAGATGCTGGATTTGTTGAAATCAACTCAGCTAAGACTCTCTTTTCAACAAAGACAAACACCAGGAAATTATGCTAAATAACACATGAGAGATAAACCATGCGAAGCCATCAGTAACAGCTAACCAACATTGATGATGGATTGTTTATTCCGGTTAATCGTCTTGAGGAGGAGAAATGGTTGCAAGACAACGATTGCTATCATTCAAAATGTCTGTAGAACTAAATTATAAAAGAAAACAACAACAAGAAGCAATCGACTTTCTAATGAACTTAGTTGATTTATCCGTTTGCTAAAAAATGTCATGTACTGTGGTATAGAATCCATATGTTAACTTATCTATTTAATTCCCATATAGGAAGTGTAATTTTTTCGTTATGTTTACATGATTAAATTATGTATTTGATTAAAAATAGAAAAAGAAACTATTTCTTGATAAACGAATTGAAGTTCATGTCGTAAATGGCTTAGCGAAATACTTAGTTATATATATTAAGAAACAAAAGGAAAAAGAAAAAAGATTATTATACGCGTAGTTTTTATTTTGCTTTTTTGTTTTAATATATCGACCATAATTCATTCGAAAATTCTTCTTTATTTGAAAAACAAAATTTCAATTGAAAAATTTATTAATCATCCAAAACTCTGAAGTGTTTGATAAGCAAGTGCAATCTATAGCTCGATGTTTGAGTTTTCATAATCAATATAGTTTGTTGGCTAAGCCATTCATTTTTCTGACATTTTGTTTATGTTTTCTGTCACGTACCTTCCAAAACTCGCTATTTCTTGTCGAAGTTGACATCTTTGAAGTATATATTGCCTAAGACATAGATTTCATAACTAACATAATTATTAGTCAATTCATTATTTGTGTGACAGTTTCTGAGTGTTTTTTCTTTTTTGGGGTTAAACTTTGGTCTATTATATAAGAATCTATTTTTGAGAAGAGATTCCTATTTGTTTCTTATGGTATTGAGTTAGTTAGTATGCTCTTGAGAATGAAAAGTAAGGGTGAAGAAAAAAAAAAAAACAAAGAAGCTACAATGTTCAAGATTAAAGTGTCTTCTTCAAGACAAAAATAAAAATAATTCTTTCTAACGAAGACCCACATAAAATTCTGAATTGTAGCATGAGCTATTTCTTATTATAATTTGATGAATATATTGTAAATATGTTATCATATTAATTTGTTAAGTTTAACATAATCTCTTCAGTATAGTCATAATATATTATGAAAATTCGATGAAGTTTGAATGTCTGGAACAAAAAATCAATTTTTGTGTGTGAGGAAGGAGAGTGTCTTGAAAATAAATTTAATAAAGGATATGCTTAATTTATTGTCACTTTTCATAGAACTTTCTCCGTAGAATATTTAATAAATATGATTCAATTTATACTAATTGAATTAAAAACAAGAAAAAATAATCTTTTAAATTATCATCACTTAAGGCTAAAAAGAAAATTGATGAATTTATTTTGATAACAGAACATGAATTTTATTGAAAAAAATCAACAGATAATTAAAAATAAAAAGAATTCTCAAAAGGATATATAAACATGATTCATTATTGCACCAACTGATCCTACGTTTTTTCTTGTTTTTCCGCCGAAGTAATACATTAATGGTTTGAAAAGAGCGATAAATGTTTTCAGGCCAAACTTGATCTTTATTTCCATCAACTTGTGTAAAAAAAAGAAGAGAAAAATGGCCTTTTTTAATGAAAGGAAAGAAAAGAGCCTTTTCTTTTACCTAATGGCAGTTAAATGCAATATCACTACAATTATCGATAAGAAAAAGCATTTTCCTCATTGTTGAACTTTTCTAGTGTACTGAAGCTTAAATTGTAGAAAAACTAAAGTTTTAGAACAAATAAATTGAGAACCAATTTTATTTTGGTCACTAGTTGGTTTTTGAAAATTTTTGATAAATAAAGCAAAAAAAGAAGTATGTCGATGAAATTATGGTAAAAAATTTATGTCTGAAGATTTTTATATCACTACACAATATGTAAGTAGATAAAACAAATTAGAAGTTTTTATTCAAATAAAATTTTCATCATTTCACTTGGTTCATTTTTATTTTAAAAATAGTCATAAATTGTTTGCGAAATTTGTTATTTTCATTCTCTCCGTTGTCATTCTATGATTATTATCTAGCGGCAATTTTTTCTTTGTTCATTTCACAGACGAGCCAAAAAAAAACAATCTTTTTTTTCTCCCTTTTCATCCGAAAGCAATAGTACTCGCATGGTCTTTCTACTCTATCGGGCTATTCAGTTTGTGACGCATTTGTGAATACGAGATTTGTTCATCATTCTGTCTATAATTCTATCTGAGCGAACGCACACGCGAGAATCGAATATTGTCTAATGATGAGAAGAGACTTTAGCAACGTATATATATTTTACACGGCATGCGTTAGCGCGCAACTTCATATCTGAAGAAGAAAAATGTTTGTCTATGTTCGTCGTTGTCGCGATGAAATGTGATGATTTGACTATCTATATCTGTTGTCCGGCCTTCTGTATTCTTTTCTAATAAGATTAGAATTAATCAGTCTCTCGTTCGCTCTCATCACTCTTTTCCGCGCGACGTCTGCAGCTATCCTAGCCGATATTTCTCGTCTGTCGTCGTTCGACATCGGCAATAAGCAAAATGTTATTATAAAATATGCGCACACGCATATACGCTTTGACATTCTATGAACATTGAGTTTGAAAAAAGAAAAGTCACAAATAGAAATCTATGTTTGTATCATTATTATCCATCAGTTGACAATTGCCATTTGAATATAAACAATGTCCACATCAACAATCAAAACATTGGGTGAATTTATGACCGATTGTGCTCGAACAACACATCGTCTGTCTTGTTATACCCCATTACCAAGCCATGCTGCTCAGGTTTGAATTAAACAAAATAATAAAGAGAATCTTATTATTTATTATTTTGAGATTACACTCGGATAAATTGATTTTATCAGTACAATAAAAAAACAATTAAGTGTTAACTTTTATCAGCCTCTTAAAATCTTATTTTCTTCTTTGTTCCAAAACAAAACAACTAGAAAAAGCTCTTAATTTATTAAGAAAATTAAATCTATCAAGCGTGATATATTTTTATTCTTTTAGTAAAGAAAAAGAAAAGACTTCTTCTATACAAAGGTTTTCATAGATGCGGAAAACCCAATATACAAAAGATAAAAATTTTGCTACTTAATCTCTTATGATCGAATATCTTTTAGAAACAAAAAAACCATAGTCAACAACAAGATTTTTACTTGTGGAAGTCTCATTAAAACATCTTCTTCTAATTTTCTTACTAATAGGAAAATTTTGCTTGATTAATTCTCTACTTTTTTTTTTTTTTTGTTTGCTTCTTCGTCATAAACTATGCATGATGAGAATCATTGTCTTTTTTGTTTTCGTAGGAACGTTTTTTTTTCACACTTGAATAATAACAAATGAGAGGAAGGAAAACGAGAGACAGTTCGTGATCCTATTAGATAGTCGTGATCAGATTTTCTTCTATTTATACGATCTAATAAACAAAAAAAAATGATAAATATATATATATATAACCGTGAAAGAAAAATGCAATACTATCATAGTTGTTCTCGTTCTGAATTTGGTGGTATTCATGCGGTTATAACTATGACAAATATAAATAAAAATCATCAACAAGATTTTTTCAGCATAAAAAGTAATAAAAAAAATTGTAAATCACAATTTATCAAATTTCGACAATTTAAACGAGCTAAGGTATCTTACTTTTTTTCAATTTATTCTAACTTATTTAAGTCTTTTTTAATCTTTAAAATCTTTTCATATTTAAAGAAAAATTATATATTCATATGGTAAAAATTAAATAAAACAAAAAACAAATTATTATTCCGATTTCTTTTTGAATTTTGAAATATTTGTAATCTTTTTTTAATTAAGTCTTATAGTATAAAAACAATAGTTCAATGAAAAATAATTATCATCATTAAATCATGTTTAGTTATCTTTCCTGTTTCGAAGACCTCGATAGTTTGTCTTCCTATAATCTAGGGAATAACATTTTGTTTTTCCTCCTACATTTGTTTTTATGGGCTTGCGTGTGTGCACACTCAGGATCACATCATTTGGAATCGATCACTTCCGGCATAGTGCACACGATGCATTTTTTTTTTATTGTTTTGTTCATGCCTATACATCCTAGGTCTTCGTTTTTCTTTCTTCTATAAAACATCGTTCTACTTTCAAACTATATTTGACTTGTTATTTCTTTTATATAAGCACCTAATAAATGCATTATTATAGATCCAAATAGAAAATCTATTCTTATATTTAAGATATGAATGAGAAGAAAGTCTATTAGTATTCATTGATATATGTAGTAGTATCTAATCGATGTGATCAATAGAGAAAATGACTGAAGCAATGTTGTCTTTGCTACTTTCTTTTTTCTTCTCATTTGCTATTGTCAATTGAAACGACTCAATTATTGATTCCATGCGCGCTACCATGCGTCCGTTTTGGCCTTGAATCCATTTGTATGGACTGGTGAAAAGACTTGTGCGCAGTGACGCGATAGAAAATATTTGTAGCGTATGAATAACAGAAGGCGATGAAGAAGAACAAAAAAAGAAGGACTCGTTGTCTTAGCATTGCATGCCACTGAGCTTTTAAGGATTATAAGAGTAAGAAACTCTGTTAGTCAACAACATATAGTAGCGAATCGAAGATAGAGTTACTCTCTTTCTTCCTTTCTTTTTTGCTTCATATTCACACGCATAGATTCACAAACAACAATCAATCACTATTACTACAACAACAATAACAATAAGAACAACGACGACGATAACAAAAACCATTGAAAAAATCTTTGTTTTAATATATTTATCTCATGTTCAGCAGAGAATCATGCGTAGTAATAGTACTAGTGCGACTGGTAATCATCATAATCACCATCGCCATTTATTTATTCGAAATTTTCTCACAGACTTTCGTCGTCAGTCGAGTGTCAATGATTATAATTTTGCCATTCCATTGGTATGTACAAATGTTATCAAACAAATATATTCTTCTCGAGAGATTTAGATAAATTAAATTCATTCAAAGTATTATTTTACTATCAATAGACTTTATTTTCGTTGTTCTTTAGAGATTAAAATCTCTAATGAAATAAGAATATATCTCAAAATATAGAACTGGGTTCTTTTTTGTTTTTCGTATTATTATATTGATAGAAATCTATCTTAAAATCTCTCTAGAGAACTTTCTATTGTTATCAATGATATATCTTACAGGTTACGAAAGATTGTTATGAATAAATCTCAAGATGACTTAAAACTATTTGTAAGATAACTTTCTAATATTATTAGTTAAAGCTTCTTTTTCTATTTTTCGTTTTCATTAATCTACTTTAAAAAAGAAGCATTTAGTAGACTTTTTTTTTTCGATATTTCCTTTCCGTTTTTATATTCATAACAGCATCAAATGTCTTTTCCTCTAGTAATTTTGTGTTGTTCCGTCAAAACGAGAATGAATTAGTAAAAAAAATAATCATGCAATGCAATGGCGATCATAGTGATGATTCTGGCATCCGACCTCAAAATTGTTTTTTTTTGTCTTTGTCTGATTTTTTTTGCATGCAATGTATCATACTTGTCATTTCTTTTTTTTTTCTCCCTTTTCTACTAAATATTATTATATCAGATCAATACCAGTCATATTAACAAATGTATGAAAAGGGAAGAATATAGTGTTGATCTCTTAAGAATTTCTTGTTGTTGAAATCTCGAGGTTATAATGTTAAGGCTGACAAAAATAGATAAGCTTTGACTATATCAAAAGGATCATAGAAGCAATAATGATGATGACATAAATATTATGATATGATGAAAATTCACAATAGCTTAACGCTGATTATTCGTTCATTCATATCATTGATATAGATAAAAAAAAAAAACTGAAAATAGAATCATAATTTTGATAAAAACAAATCGTATCTGCTTATTATCATCAGCAGAAGAAAGAAATAAAGACACCTTTCCGGCTGAAATCAAAGTAGTGATTCGGTTTATCGTCAGAATTTATCTCATTCCTCCTTCCTTACGGATATAGGCGTTTTTTTTTTTTTCTTCAAATTTTGAAAGATGCTTAATGAGAGAGGTGAAATGTAAAGGGGTACATTTAGTTGTTTCAATTTTTATGCATGTCAAAAACAAAAAAAAAATGACATATTAAGACAGTTGCTGTCCTCTCGCTTTTTTTCTGCACTGATGCGGTACGCATATTTCAATGACAGGAAAAATACATCAACTAGTGCTTAACAAGAATAATATTTATCACTGCCGCTAGCAACATTGAGAGAATGCGAGATAAGGAAGCGATCTACCAAAGAACAGAGAGGCAAAATAGTAAAATGATAGAGAAAGAAAAGAGAGCAAAAGAGGTTTGATTCATCCGAAGCTCATTTTGTTACTAAAACTCAAAACAAAAAAAGAGACAGGAAGAGAGACTACACACGTTCTTCCCTCTCGTGTCGTGTTCAATTTCCCACACTCCCGTTTTTGTTCTCGTTCGGTGTCTGCCTCTTCTTACACAGAAAGTTTGAATCTAACAACAATAATAAGTCATGATGTCGTCAAAGATTGTATCTTATCGTTCTTCACAAAAATTTATTAAGGCCAAGGTATAAAGATCAATAGAATGACACTTGATCTTATCTGATTAATTGATTTTTAATTGAGAGATTGTTTTTTTTTTTCATTTATATTTTTCAGTCACTTGCAGTTACTGATGAAGAAGCTGGAGATTTACCAGGAGCACGCTTATCGATATCAAATTCTTTAACAAGCGTTCATAAACAATGTGAACAAGACGATGCTGAAGCAACAAATAAACTTTTAGACATTGGCCGTGTTGCTTCATGGGCTGTTGGTTTTGAAAAATTGCTCAATGATGACACAGGTTTACATGTATTTACTGAATTTTTAAAAAAAGAATTTAGTCAAGAAAATATTCAATTTTGGATTGCATGCGAAAAATTTAAAAAATTGTCAGATCCAGAAGAGGTTTGATTTAATTTTATTTCATCTTATTTAAGTATATCTTGTTTCTTTTTTCCCTATAGATTCATCTTAATGCCAATTTGATTTGGTCCACTTATTTACATGATACAGATGATGGTTCATGTCCAATAAATATTGATAGTCGAACACGACAAGAATGTCAACAGTCTTTATTAAATAAGCCTAATGCTCATATGTTTGAAAAGGCTCAATCTCAGATATTCCAATTAATGAAATATGATTCATATAGTAGATTCCTTAAATCAAATATGTATAAAGATTGTATTATGAGTGAAATGGAAGGTAAATGTATACCATATACAAAACAGCAGCAACAACAACAATTACAAACTCCATCAAACTATGAAGATAGATCAAAAACACTTGATTCTTTTGTATGAATAGTATAAAATTTTTATTTCATAGGAAATATCTTTTTCCTTTTCCTTAGACAAAATTAAAAGACGATGAAAAGAAAGATAAAAAACGAAGTCCGCTTTTACCTTGGACAAAAGGTAAAAATAATAACTTTAAAATAATTTACATCTTTATTATTATTATTATTATTGTTATTATTATTATTATTTATCTTTTTAGCATTCATTAAATGGAAACGTCTATCAGGTTTGTTTTATGTCTAATTATCTTTCTTTATTACCGTACACACGTAAACTTGTTTCTTGATTAATTTATTTTCTATTCGTTATTAATTTATCTAGCTGCGCCAGAGACAAGCAAGTTTCTTTTTTATTCTTTGTTTTTGTTGTTCTGCATATATACACATAGAAAAAAAAATCGTAGTCTGTCTAATTAATATTAAAAAAAGTGTGTTTTCCCCATCTGTTCGTGAAAACTCGAGAGACATCGAGCCACGAATGGATAGAGGAAAGTGATAGTAATCATCATCATCAACTTGTGCTGTTGCTACTAATAATACTTCAACTACTGCTATTTGCTACTACTAATCGTTTCGTTTGTTGATAGCTTCGTGTCAGCTGTTTGGTGTTCTGCATGCGAATGAGATGTGAACGTAGATCAATGATTGATCGATTTGGACTATTCTGCTGTAGAAACATATACAGACAAGTAGAGATATATACATAAATTCATCAGCTTGACAAATCAAAAGAGCATGTCACAAATGGCTACTGAAAAAAATTGATGTATTATAATCAAAACACTATATATAGAAATTTTCGTGCACATTATAGTTTCTTTTTTTAGCTCCTATTAATTTTCATTGTTGAACTCTAAATATAATTTAAAAAAAAGACAAAAATGAAAATTAATGCTTTTTGTACAACCTGATTATTCGTTTGATTAACCCACATTATCTATACATATATTTTATATGTCCATATGGATAGCTTTGTTACATTATATAGTCATCGTACGATTCTTAATCGTAATAAAGAATCGATATAGATCCTCTCTTCGTTGCAGTCACAGCCTCGGCGAGTAACACGCTCAAAGAAGATTCCGGTGATGAATAGTGTACAGCATGCGCATTCTTTCATTGCCTTTTCTACTTCATCCAGGTAGATAAATAAGTATTTAAACCTTCACATACCATTATTCTATATATTTATTTTTATTTCAAAAATTAGGATATCTTTATTTCTAATAAATATCTTTTTTTCGATAAAAAATATAAAATAATTTTATTGTTTAATATCTAGTTAAACGTGATACACCTTCCTCTCTGTCCAATCTACATCATCAAACTGCTAATGCTAGTACAAATACTCCAATACATGAAAATTTATGTTTATCACCGTTTCTAACATCACCAATTACAAATAAATCAGCTTCAACTGAATTAGGAACTATATCAACAATAGCAAAAATTGCAAGTGCATCATCATCATCATCAGCTTCACTAACAATAACAATGAATAGTGGAAATTTATCAAGCAAAATGAATAAAATTTCACCAAATGTTCCTCAACAAGATTCGCCAGCGTTTAATTTTCTTTCACGTTCAGAAACAAATCAAGAATCAACTTCGTTTCCTGAAAAGAAAACTTTTATAGTTAGTTATTCTTATTGAGATATTCATAAGAAAAATTTCATATGAATGTATTCTATAGGAAAATTCTTCAACATTATCAATAGATACATCTCGTTTTTGTCGTTTTATATTTCCCGATCAAACATCAGCAGTACTTTTAACACATAATTGTACTAATGTAACTATTCAAAAAGCAATAAATCACTTATTTGCCAAACGTGGCATTACTTGGTATCGAACAGAATTGTATTTAACATCGTCAAATGATCAGGTAAGGAGAAAAAAGAAATTTTTATTTATTCATCCAAATTATTATATTGAGCAAGCGCTAATAATGTTACTGAATGTGTATAAGGTTGAGAGGACCAAAAAGGAAATTCTCCACCTGGTACATTATACCCATTGAATGTTGTTGGTGTTGATCTATTAAAATGTTTTTCGGATATCATACGTTCATATATTGTTTCATCAATATATCCACTGACACCCACAATTGAATCAATAAGAGATTGATTGTCTGTATCAAAATGATCTGGATCAAGAGTACTTCCATTTAAAAATTGATAAATATTGGCCGGATACCAAAATGGTAATTGATTTACACCTTTAACAGAGCCCGAAAAAAAACAATTAAAAGGTTGATATTTAAATGCATTAATAAGAAGCCATGATATCGATTTATTAATCATTATTTTAATTGTATCAATTTGTTGTTCATCACTAATCCATTTTAATTTTCCTGTATCTTTATCAAAATAAGTAAATGAAGCAATAAGTACATTGACAGTTTGTGCTGTTGAAAATATTCTATCTTCACCTGTTGGTTCTAGTTTTCCAAATATATTTGTATCATTTGTACCAAGAAAATCATCATATGATGATTTATCAGAACGAACAAAATCTTGAAAAAATTTTACAACATCACTACGATAAGCATCAGCTAATAATGAATAAGCACGATTAAATACATCTGGTATTGATTTCTCTTGACGACGTGCTAATTCAAGAAGAAATAAACTACGTGATCCATACCAAAGAAAATTATATTGTGATGGATAATATACTTGTGCAAGATCGGGGCGGTTTTTCATTGAATGTTTTATTGACCATGCTATTAATGATGCAGTTGATAAATATAATGTCTAAACATATATACATCTATTAATCACTATTCGACTCTATTGTAACAAATTCAGATATAATCTCTGGTAGTAGATAAATACTTTTTTAATGAGAGGAAAGAAAAAGCCTACTGAATAAAAAATATTAATAAATACGCCATGTTAAACACTAGCATATATTTGAATTTTCTAATTATTACCAGTCTTTTGTTTAAAATATGTAGCGGAAAATGTCATTCTTATCTCTGCAAACATTACAGTAAATGACATCTTATTGCTATTGAGGACTATACGTCAATAGTAGTTAGATCTTTACAAAGAAAAAGAATTTTTTTTTTCGTAAGATTCTGTCATGTAGAATAAAAATAATTCTATTGTGTATAATATTGAAATCTTATAGAGGTTCCACTGAAAGTTTATTTATTTTTTTCTTGATTATATAAGTGCTTTGGTTGTACTGTATAATTTTCTTTTTCGTTTCTCGACAAGATACTTCTTGGTGTCAACACGTCTTATCATTTATTAATATCAGTTAGATAAGACAAAATAAGTTCAACATATTTTGACCTTTCAGGGACAGATTGTTATATAATAACAATACTTTAAACTTGAAGAAAAAACAAGTTTTTAAACGAATTAAAATCAAATAATATTTACCTGCATATCTTGATTAAAATAATCTTTAAAATCAACTAAATCATAAATAATAGCACTTGTAATTCCATATAAAACATTAGCACCAACAGTAACATCAACATTATTTAGATTAAATGGCATTCTAACACCTCGATGTGCTGCCGTTCGAACTTCAGTTATATTTTGTGCCCATGTTGTTGCTATAATTGCCTGTGGATTATCTCGAACAAAATCTCTTATCCAAAAATATGTTCTTGGATCAATTGTATTTTGATCTAAATCTTTACTTGATGGTTTATAAGCATAACGTAATGTTAGATCAATTAATTTTTTCATATTAGAATTTGTTTGTAACCAACGTAAATAGAGTGATGGATATTTATCTTGTAATAATTTTAATTGTACACCTAAACCTATATTTAAATATGTATCATCAAAATCAGGTGGAATTTCAAAAACATTTTTAAATGCTTCAACATTTGCACGAAGTTTATCAATTAATTGTGCAACATTTTTTACTCCAAGAAATTTTAAAATATCTTCAATAAGTTCAAGACTATTATCAAAATCAGTCATTAAATAACGTAAATTATCTGGTGTTGATTGCCATGTATTTGTTGTTTGATTATATACTTGAGACCAAAATGTCATCAATGGAACAGAAGATTCATTTTGATTATGATCATGAAATGTTTCAATTGCCTCAATAGCTAATGATAAATGTTCTGTATCAATTGTTTTTGGAGCACGACCATACATATTTGCTTCTAATAATACGGTTGATATCCAACTGTAAAAATAAATGATTTATTTTTTCTTTTTATTTAAGAATTAAAAATTATTATAAACATACCCCGTAGCGAACATATTGTTATCAAAAACATAAACAAATTTATTTTTACGTAAATCAGCTTGTAATGGTTCACCAAAAAAATTTATACGAACTTCAGAACGATAAAGACCTAATTTTTTTTCCCATTGCGGAAATTTAAATTCAGCCGGCTTTAAAACCTATAGAAAATAAAAATTAATGAATTTAATCTAAAAAAAGAACATCTTGTTTACTTGATCTTCACTGATAACTTTAATTAATTTTTCCATAACTTGCTCAATTGGTGTACTTGCATTTGCATAATAGATACAAATGCAAAGAAATAAATAAAGCGTTTTATGTGATAATATCATTATTAAAAAAATAAAAATGTGTTTTTTTTCTTTTTGCTGTTGGTTTTTTATATTCATATTGGACGTTATCTATTTATTATCTAATTGTTTATACCTGAGTCATAAGTTTATTCTTTTTCGTTGTATTTTAGCAGCCAATTGATATACAAGAACCATTATCAACGTTATCTGGAAAAGAAATTCGTGTTGAAATACGTATTCTAATACGCATTGATTTTCCAGTAAAAGTTTTATGTGTACGATGTGATCCAAAACGAACGCTTTTACAAGTTTTACAACCCATTGTTGATAAATTAAAATTATCTATTGGACAATTTGTTTTTTATGCGGCATGACAATGGATAATTTTTTTTTTCTTAATTTAAAGAATTTTCGTTTTTAGAATGACTCGTTGATACCACTTAATCTGAATGATTCAGTTTGTGCTTATGATAATCAACGAATTTTTACATTAACGAAAACAGCTTCAGGTGTCGGTAAGTTAATTTAAATGAATGGTATTATTGTATTTTTTTTCTCTTTTAAAAGATATGTCAAGTAGACAAAAATTAAAAGCAATAAATGATATATTTGAAATGATATCAGAAAATGATGAAGACATCAAATTTGATGAATGCGGAATTTTAAAACCGGTTACATTATCGAAATCAACTATTGTTGTTGTATGTTTATTAATTAAAGCTTTTCTTTTTTTTTCAAATATTTTTCATTCTGTGTTAATAGTCAAATGATGATTATCCTCATTCACCTACACCTGAAAGTTCGCCAGCATGCGAAAGTGATCGTAGGTGTTTTTTTTTTTAAATGATCATTAGTAGAATATTTTTCTTTTAGAAATTTATTGTGGTCCCAAACGGTGATTTATCTTGTTGTTTTAATATTAGTGATGATTAAATTTAACACTACCCGGTGTTATTTTATTTATTTTTTCGATTATTAACAAACTTTTGATTTAAGACCAACATTTGTCTAAATGGCATGGCAGATCATTTTTTTTCTCATTTAATTTTCCTAAAAATCAATACCTATCCTACACAATCAATGGTGCTATTTTGTGTATCCGTGGTGGTGTCATTGTCTTTATGCATGTATTCATATCATCAAAGAATTTCTTTTTCTTTTGTCACTTTTACGGTATTTTGCTGTCGTATCCATTTCTGTGGTACAATTTTTTTTTTCTTCTTCTTGTTTCGTTATCTGTGTCAATATTTTTCCAAGTGTGACATTGTGTCAGTGAGTGTGGAAGTGATTGCATGTGTGACAATAATTGAACAGTACGAACTAAATCAGAAAAACAAATACATATATATTTAAAGAAATATTGCAAAATTGTATATTAATAGATTAATCACATTCCAAATATGTTTGTAAATATTTTTCTATTGAATGATAAGTTATTAGAATTTTACAAGAATAGATGTTTTATCATATTTATTAATTATTGTATTATTTTGTTTTTATTATTGTGCTGTTTTGAATAATACTTAAGTACGTAGATCTATTATAGAAATGAAGCTGATACCGAAAGACTTCTTTATGATTAATTTTGTTCAGTTTTCTTTCGTCAAAATCTGTTCAATTTTGAGGAAAAGAACCGAATCATTCGTATAAATTAACCAAGAATTCATTCAAGGTAAGAATAAAACCCGATTGACCGTCCGGTCCCGTCTTACCTACTCAGCATATGATCCAATCTTGAGCATGACTTTCAGTTACGATATAATCATCAAAGTACCCACTTATGAGCGATATTTCAATGTCAGAATATACTCTTAAAGTTGATATGTACTGAAAAAATATTATTTCTCCAAACAAGTCTTCAAAAAAACTAAAGAGACCGTGGATGTAAAAAAAAGAAGTTTAATTTAGTCGGAAAATTGCTTTTAACGGATGATATACAGGAAATGTGCAATCAGCATCTATACTATAGTACATGCACATAGCAATACTCACATTGTAGTAAGCATAAATTATCGAGTTTTTATTGGACGAAATTTGTCTGACGACCATTCTGCTAAATCATTGTCCTCTACGAATCTGCATGAATGCAGAAAGAAAATTAAGAACTACAGTCTGTTTAAAGATGCTATTCAATGT